ATCATCATCATCATCATCATCATCATCATCATCATCATCATCATCATCATCATTGTTTGGTAAGCAGAGTAGGAGGGAGAGTCTTGTATGAATTTCAGACAAAATAACAAAACAATATAAAATGTTTAAAATTTGTTTAATAGCTCAAGTGCCATTCACAAATTGTTTTTGCCTTCTTTCAGTTTTTCTAAACCTTAAGTGAAATGATCCAATACCAGTAATAAAAATGTACTGAATTTTTTGTTGGTGTTGTTTGGAGGGGGGGGGCGGGGTCGTCATTCTTTATTTTCGGGGGTGGTTTTTTTATTTGTTTGGTGGGTTGGGTTTTTTTGTTTGTTTGTTTTTTGTTTGTTTTTTGGGGGGGTGGGTTGGTTGTTGTTGTTGCTTTATTTGGAACGCCATGATCTCTTATTGAATATAACCACTCCCAAAAAATACTCAAAAGTTTAGGAAAAGAGGATAAAAAAGCAAAAGCAATTTGTGATTCGCAAAATTCTCAAATTTGTTGAAACAAAACTTGCATTTGTGAGATGGTTGGGACAGGTAGGTGTGCGTGGTGTGTGTGTGTGTGTGTGTGTGTGTGTGTGTGTGTGTGTGTGTGTGTTTGTATGTGTGTATGTGTGTATGTGTATGTATGTTAGTGTGTGTGTGTGTCTGAGAGAGCGAGAGAGAGAGAGAGACAGACTGAGACAGAGAGAGAGAGAGAGAGAGAGAGGTGGGCATAGTGAGAGGAAGGAGAGGGAGAGAGGGGGACACCTGCCTAATGAATTGAAAGAGAAGGGGGAATTCTTCAAATGAACGTGTTTTGAAGCTTTGATTTAAAAATCAATGAAACAATAATATTATGCTCACATCTACTGTATTCTTCAAAAACCTGTCGACGTCATCAATGTTGCTGACCACTGTATTGTTGGTGAACTCCAGGGCGGAGGTAAAACGGTCGTCGGTGACGTAAACACACACAGCAGCCGACCTGATCAGGGGAAGAAGGGTTTGTTGAGTTTGAGGAGAAGCACGATAAATATTAAAATGACGATGCTAGTCCACTTGACGGTTTATCTGAACGACCGCAATCAGATTTAGATTTGGCGTTAATTTTGTGTTTGTGTTTGGGTTCGGGTTCGGGTTTGGGTTTGGATTTGGGTTTGGGTCTGGGTCTGGGTTTGTGTTTGGGTTAGAGGAGGGTTAGGGTTAGGGTTAGGATTGGGTTTAGGGTTAGGGTTACGGCTAGGGTTAAGATTAGGATTCGGCATGGGTTTAGGGTTAGAATCAGGGTTGGTGTTTGGATTTTGGTTAGGGTTGGGAGTGTGACAAGGTCAGCTTTTGAACAGGTTTGGGTTGGGGTCAGGGTTATTAATTATTTGATTGTAGTACACTAGTAGACTGCCAAATGGAACAAATGCCAGACCGGTGTGTTGGTTTATCGTCAAGTAAAGCAGAATCATTGCGGTAGACCATCAACAGTGACGAGTGGTCAGTAGTGATAGAGAAAAGCAAAGTGACAGGATAAGAGTCTACTTGAGCCCCCCATTTGCAACTTACTTGAGCTACTACGCACGCCTTGGATCTCCACTCTCTGTTGGGTCAAACTGATACTGGTGTCGTTGCGACAGAATGAGCGAAAGACGCTTTTAATTTGTTTTACGA